GTGTGTGTGTGTGTGTGTGTGTGTGTGTGTGTGTGTGTGTACATACATGTTTTGGTGGTGGGGATGGTTTTTGACCATTTTCCTGGTACACACAGCCTGATGAGGACCCACTGTTCCTAATTGAAACAAAAATCTGGTCCTCATTGGGGGAAAAACTGTTGGTGGGTCATGGGTTCAGTTAGGATGAAGGTGTGAATCGAGTTTAGGTTAAGTTTAGGTTTGTACCTGTGAGGTTAGGTTTAGGGTAAGGGTTCAGAGTCAGGCTCTAGAACAGGGGTTCCCAAACATTTTCCCCAAGGGGGCCAAAATGAAACTCTATCCATGGCTGCGGGCCAAATGCAGTTATATAATACATGAAATACAAATACTTTTTAAAAGTAAAGTCCTTTATTTTTAACCATTAAGCTTTAGTTTTAGTCTGTGCACTTGGAGAAAGTCTGCCATACGCTCAAGTAGCAAAGGCTCATGGGACATTTCATAAATAGATAAAATATGAGTTTTTGTGGCCTTATAAAGTGTGCAAATCTACATGCGGGGTTAAATCTGATCTAAATTTTTCTTGTTGTCATTTCATGTTTAACCCTAATAAATCAAAGCTAAAGTCAACAGCATGAATGAAAACTACCTTCACTACAGCCCTTTTATATAGTCATTTGACCAATGGAAATACTGTGTTTCTACATAGGATAACAGGTTACAACCTTGTAACTTTGGCAACTGTTGATGGGCCAAATCAAATGGCTTGGCGGGCCAAATTTGGCCCCCGGGCCCCACTTTGGGCTCCTCTGCTCTAGAAAATGACCAGTAAATGAATGGAAGTCAATGCAAAATCCCCATGAGGATAGAAGAACAAACGTGTGCGTGTGTTTCGTCTTGTCTAAGAGCAGCCAGGACTAAATAAATAAATAAATATATAAATAAATCCCAAACTCTGCACCATTTAAATATGTCACTGGAGAACATTATGCATGGAAAGATTTTCAATCTTTTTTTACAGTGCTTGAGTCAGGGTGAGCCCAGGCCAAAATGACAAACAAAACGTATCTAACTTCATTTATACCTCTTACCTCTTAACAAACAATTTTCTAAAGCTGCAGTCAATGTTAAATGATCATTTTTTTGAGCCTTACTGACAAAAAGGAAGTGTCTGTGTATGTGTGAGTACAGCCGTCTGTGCTCCGGATATCACAGTCCTCCCACTAGAATGGGATGCCTTCTGCAAACCATTATATCACCATCAGTTTTACGTTACACAATCATTTATAACACTTTTTGCAATCAAGCTTATAAAACTGGTCAGAATTTAACAAAAAGAAACCTGAGGTCATTCAAATTATCTGCAAATGGTAAGATAATTACTCATAAGCTTTCTATTTACCTCACAATCGAAGATGAGTTATTGCTTTAAATATGTTTAAGCCATAATGTCTGATCTGAAAGATGAGTAAAAGGAACAAAACATTGTGTCCTAATTTGTTTGGTTTGGTTTGCCTCATGAATAACAGCTATAAAGTTTTCCCATAAAACCAACACAAAACCAAAACTTGTGTTTTTGTTTTTCTGTCAGTGCTTATGGGAAAAAAATATATATTGGTGTCATCCTGTTTGTTTCCTGTCAGAGTTTCAATATCGGAGAAGTGATTCACCGCACCAACATTTGGAGAGACGGAGCATCAGATTCCTGGAAGAGGACTGTGAGCAGAGGAGCACAGCTCAGCGGGTTGGGGGTGGGGGTGACAGAGGTGACGAGTGGATGTGGAGACAGGTTTGACAGTCGTGAACAGAGGGCAGTTAGGAACCAGTGAGAAGACAGATTGCTGTCCTCACTCACACACACACACACACACACACACACACACACACACACACACAC